AAATATATTATATAATAATAAAGTTAACTAATTGATTACTATATATTTGTTACTATTCATCAAAAAACATTATATATATTTATGTTTTTAAAAATGTTTGTTAATCTTAATCTTAAGTAAAGATTACTAACATTATTTCCTAAAAGTAAGGGTGCTATAAAATTTCTTATGGTTTAAGAACAGACTTATTTCTTAGTAACTTCTATGGTCAATGAGAGCGGCTGCTACTGCTGGTATTTAGCAACTAATATAGATATTCTACAAGTAATGTATTATATAGCCACTGAGATTCACGGAATAAAATATCTCATATGTGTATATGAAATAATATTTTGATATATGCAAGAAGATTTTAATAAAATATAGTATATGGAATTATGATCGATATTTTTTCTTATAATAATATTAAATTTAAAAACTAATACTTTGTTATTCTGTCATTTTGTTATAGTCTTAATATTTTTCAATATTTTTGTAATTAAGTTATATATAAAATTAAATATATGCGATATATATATATATATTTTATAATCATATAAAAATTTTTGTCTTAATTTTATAACATTGTATATATGTTTTTAAAAAAATACCATATCATATATTATTATTATTAATGCATAAAGCAGTCCTTATGTTAATGTCACAATTGCATTATATTCAGTGTTTATATATGCAATAATATCAAAATTATTTCAAAATCTTATAAATGTTATACCTTTTAATCCAGACGATACATATAAGCTATGCAGTCTGAAGTAGTAACAATAACATTTTTATCATCAAGGAGTACCATATTCACTGTGGTTGAATGTATACGCTTCGCCTCGTAAGCACAGACTAGTTCTCCAGTTTGTTTATAAATCGTGATATTAAATTGCATGGATGTACTACCCACGACAAGGTTTCCATCCGAATTAATATCTAGCGCAATAGGATTAGTTATATATTTTTCATCACCGATTTGACGTAGATATGAACCTTGATAGTTATACACTTTGATGCAATGATCTATGTCATCTGTAATAAATATCTCATTTTTGTCATTGGTTCTAACATCTGTTGCGTGTATTAATTTGGGACAAAAGAACCATTGAAGCAGTCCACCATTTTCATTAAAAACAAACATTGTGTTCAATTTACAATCCATAACAAGTATACGTCCACAGTAATCTACAGTCATACAGCAAGCACCAATCAATTGACCTTCACCGAACTCGATTTTTAAATTTCCAAATTTATCAAAGATCTTAATAATTCCTTTAGTTTCACAATTATCCAACAAAACGATATCACTACAGACTGGCATCACTCTAAGTCGTAAAGGACACTCCAAATTGACGAAGTAAGTTGCCTTTCTACCAAAACTATACTTGAAATTACCATTTCTGTCGAAGACTGACACTCGCCCAATAATTTTGTCACAAAGTATAATTTCGTTAACCGTATTCACAACTATTCCATTTGCACTCAAGAACTTAGCATCGTCTTCACCTTGGCAACCGAACTTGAAGTGATAAATAATTTTGCGACGTTGGATGCTTGTTTTATTTTCACTCAAATTTTCTTTCTTCTGTATTTGCAAAGAAGTAGGTTCTGGATCATTGACAAATGGCTTAACAATAGATCTGCCACCCAAAATTGGTCTCTCTTTTTTAGACTTATCTGATTTATCGCCTGTGAATCGTATTGCTTTTTTATCGAATAGTTTCGTTAACGCTTCCAAAGAAGACAATTGTTCTAGAGTATCCCCGGACAGATCTTCATGATGACTACGTTTCTTTATTGGTGTTTTAGTAACAAATGTTGTTTGCTGTTCAGACTTTGCAATAAAATCTTCTACGTTTTCAAGATAAGTTGGCGGCTTATGTGGTATAGTGTGTTGATTAGTTGCTCTAACTATTGCGGTTGGATATATTGGTTGTGGCAATTTGAATGGTGTAAATTGTGGATGATTATATATCATTGTAGGAGGATATATTGGCGATACCACTATTTGTGAAGTAGGTATTTTAATAGCTGCCGTTGATACTGTTGCAATAGGATAACTAATGTTAGTAGGCGTAGTTATGCATTCCGTTGGTATATAAACAGGAGAATCTATTATAGGAAGATAAATGGGTGTGTTTGGTGTAGGTATGTTTTCTGGTGATATGTAAGAATGGGACACTATTGCAACAGGATTAGTGCAAATGCAATTGCTTAAAGCAGGATTGTTTTCTGTCGATATAGATCCAGAAGAAATTGTTGAAAGTTGATAAGCAGGTTTGATTGGCATAGGATTGCTTTCTGTCGGTATAGATTCAGAAGAAACTACAGGAAGATGATAAGGAGGTTTGCTTTGCGTAGGTATGTTTTCAATTGTTATGTTAGCAGAAGATATTGGTGTACTAGGTAAATTTTGCGTGCTTGGTTTGGAATCATTTTCTGCAGTCTTATAAACAGGAGAACCTTCTGCTACAGGATAACTTGGATTACTTGATGTAGATTTGTTGTCAGTTGCTATGTAATCAGGAGAGTCTGCGGTAACAGGATAATTTGATTTGCTTGATATATGTTTGTTTTCTTCGTTTATGTAAGCTGATGTTACTATTGCAGGGGGATGACTTGGCTTGCTTGGTGAAAGTTTATTTTCCGTTGCCATGTTAGCAGTAGATTTTGATGATTCCGGATAACTCGATTTACTTGGTGATGGTTTGTTTTCAGTTGTTCTGCAAGCGGGAGACACTTTTGCAACAGGATAATTGGTTTTGTTTGGTGAAGGTTTGTTCTGAGTTGATACAGAATGCCTTATCTTGTTTTTTATAGGTATATTTTCTTTTGTTATGTAAGCAAAGGATACTTTAGGTTTGGTTTCTGTGCTAATGCTAGTAGAAGAAACTGTTACAATAGGATTACTTGCCTTGTTTGGTGAAGTTTTGTGTCCTATACTTGGAAAATTCGACTCATTTAGTATAGCTTTGTTTTCTGGTATTTTGTCTACCGGGGGTACTGTTGCAGTAGGATAACAGGATAAGTTGTTTGGCGCAGGTTTATTCTCTATTGCCCCAGGTACAGATTTGTTTCCTGTATCTCTATAAGCTGGAGACACTACTGCAATAGGATAGTAGGATAACTTCCTTGGTTTGAGTTTCTTTTCTGCTGCTATATAAGCAATCGATTCTGGTGTAATAGGATATTTTGACGTGTTTGAAGTATGTTTACTTAGCTTTCTTAGTGTTGATTTGTTTCCTGTAGTTGCATTAACTGAAGAAACTGTTGCGAAGGGATAAATTGGCTTGCTTATTGTAGATTTGTTTTCTGTTATAATATAAGCAGGTGACACTGTTGCAACTGGATAATTGGGCTTGATTGGTGTGAGTTTATTGGTGTGAGTTGCTACAGGGTAACTTGACTTACTTGGTGTAAACTTGCTTTCCGTTGTTATATCAGTAGAAGATAACGTTGCAGCATTATAATCGGACTTGTTTGGTGAAACTTTGTTTTCTGTTGTAATAGGGTAACTGGACTCGGTTGGTGTAAGTTTGTTTTCTGTTGTTATATCAGCAGAAGATAACGTTGCAGCATTATAATCGGGCTTACTTGGTGAAAGTTTGTTTTCTGTAGTAATAGAATAACTGGCCTTGTTTGGTGTAATATTGTGTTCTGTTTCTATAGAATAACTGAAGCAAGTCCAATGAAGCAATGTAGATATATTTTCTTTTACTATTTCAGCAGTAGGTAAGATATCAGCAGGATTACTGGACTCGATTGGTGTAAGTTTGTTTTCTGTTGCTATATCAGAAGAAGATAAGGTTGCATCAAGACAATTGGACTTGCTTGGCGAAACTTTGTTTTCTGTAGTAATAGAGTAACTGGATTCGCTTGGAATAGATTCGTTTTCTGTTATTATATCAGCAGAAGATACAGTTGCAGCAGAATAAGTGGGCTTTCTTGGTGAAAGTTTGTTTTCTTGAGCAATAGGATAACTTGACTTACTTGGAGTAGATTTGTTTTCAGCTACTATATTAGTAGAAGATAAGTTTGCAGCAGGATAATTGGACTTCCTTGGTGTAAGTTTATTTTCTTTTACAACAGAACAACTAGACTTACTTGATGTAGATTTGTTTTCTGTTACTTTATCAGCAAAAGATATAGTTGCAACAGGACAAGTGAGCTTATTTGGGGAAAGTTTGTCTTCTGTAACAGTAGGATAAATGGACACGCTTGATGAAAGTTTATTTTCTGTAGTAATTGGACAACTGGATTTAGTTGGTGTAGGTTTGTTTTCTATTACTACATCAGAAGATACGGTTGCAGCAGTATAATTGGACTCGCTTGATGTAGGTTTGTTTTCTGTTGCCACATCAGCAAAAGAAGCAGTTGCAACAGGACCAGTGAGGTTGCTTGGTAAAAGTTTGTCTTCTGTGGCAGTAGGATAAATGGACACGCTTGATAAAAGTTTGTTTTCTGCAGTAATAGAATAACTGGACTCGGTTGGTGTAAGTTTGTTTTCTGTTACTACATCAGCAGAAGATATAGTTGCAACAGGACCAGTGACGTTGCTTGGTGAAAGTTTGTCTTCTGTGGCAGTAGGATAAATAGACACGCTTGATGAAAGTTTGTTTTCTGTAGTAATAGAATAACTGGACTCGGTTGGTTTAAGTTTGTTTTCTGTTACTACATCAGCAAAAGATGCAGTTGCAACAGGACCAGTGACGTTGCTTGGTGAAAGTTTCTCTTCTGTAGCAGTAGGATAAATGGACACGCTTGGTGAAATTTGGTTTTCTGTGGTAATAGAATAACTGGACCCGGTTGGTGTAAGTATGTCTTCTGTTACTACATCAGAAGATACGGTTGCAGTAGAATAACAGGACTCGCTTGTGGTAAGTTTGTTTTCTGTTACTATATCAGCAGAAGATACAGTTGCAACAGGACCAGTGCCGTTGCTTGGTAAAAGTTTGTCTTCTGTGGCAGTAGGATAAATGGACACGCTTGATAAAAGTTTGTTTTCTGCAGTAATAGAATAACTGGACTCGGTTGGTGTAAGTTTGTTTTCTGTTACTACATCAGCAGAAGATATAGTTGCAACAGGACCAGTGACGTTGCTTGGTGAAAGTTTGTCTTCTGTGGCAGTAGGATAAATAGACACGCTTGATGAAAGTTTGTTTTCTGTAGTAATAGAATAACTGGACTCGGTTGGTTTAAGTTTGTTTTCTGTTACTACATCAGCAAAAGATGCAGTTGCAACAGGACCAGTGACGTTGCTTGGTGAAAGTTTCTCTTCTGTAGCAGTAGGATAAATGGACACGCTTGGTGAAATTTGGTTTTCTGTGGTAATAGAATAACTGGACCCGGTTGGTGTAAGTATGTCTTCTGTTACTACATCAGAAGATACAGTTGCAGTAGAATAACAGGATTCGCTTGCTGTAAGTTTGTTTTCTGTTGTTACTTCAGCAGAAGATCCTGTTGCAAGAGGATGACAGGAATTGCTTGGTGTTTGTTTGTTTTCTTTTGCAATATAAGCAAGAGATACTGTAGCAACAGGACAACTGGAGTTGTTTGATGTAGATGTGTTATCGGCAGGATACACTGTAGCAATAGGATCACTGAACTTACTTAATATAGGTATATTTTCTGTTACTACTGCTGTAACTAGATGACTGGATTTAATTGGTACTGGTGTGTTTTCATTTACTTTGCAGGCAGTTGATACTGTTGCAACATAATCACTGGTATTACTAAATGTAGGTTGACTTATTGTTGCTACATAAGAAGAAGAAGTTTTAGCGGAGTTTTCGACAAACTTAGCACCCTGAATAATGTTTGCTTCCTTTTCATTAAGTACATGTTTTGATAAATAGCTTGCGCTGGTTGATGGCAATTCATCCAAATTATAGTTTTTCTCGGATTTTTCGCTAGGATTATTTTGTTCTACTGGTAAAAAATTTATATATTTGGTTGTAGTCACTTTTACTATTCCTTTATGATCGTTTTTACATGCAGAGTTAAAGCTCTTAATAATCCTCTTAACTTTAGACTGCTTTGCTTTGTCTTTTATTATAAGAAATTTATTTTGAGAGTCTGGAAATATCGCATTTTGAATTTTTTGAGAG